TAAAAAAATAATAATTTAAATAAAATTAAAATAGCCATTGAATATTTAAAATTGAGTTCAAATAACTATGCGTGAGAGCTACTCAACTATAATTTAAAGACTGTAAAGATTATTTTGACACTTCTATAAACTTTGAGACTAAAATGACACCGTATAAATAGCCTAGAACTATTTTGTACTTTACTTCTCTTTTAAATTAATTATCATATAGTTGTTATTATTATTGGTTAAATAAAAAAAATTAAGAGTTGAATTACCATTTAAATTAATGTTTGATTCGGCATATATTATTATAGTCCATGACATTGTAATAGGGTGATTTATTATACATTAAATGAATTAATTATCATTTATTAAATGATACGCATGTAAAATAACAAGTCTTATTCTTGTTGTCTTTGTCTTGCTTTTTGATAATCTTAAAAAAAAAGAAATCGCAAATAAAAATAAAAGATGCAAACATTTATTTAATGATCTAATCTTAAATAAGCTCTTAATATATATCTTATTGAAAGACTCTTTTCACTTCATCATCTCCAACATCATCACTTTTTAAAAAAATTGTCATGAATTGATGGAGTGCAGTGGTGATGCACGTAATTAGGAGCTTTATAAAAAGTTAAAAACAGTTTATCATAATAAATTTTAATCGTTACTTTTGTTATATATATATATATATAATCACCCTTACAATATATAGTAAGGGTGATTAGACCTTATTTGAAACTACAAATATAATGGGGATATAAAGTGGATTGCTGCTTGGCTTGATTCTGTGATTGATTTAGAAAAATGTAATTTGACTTTTATGAGGAGAGTTATTGTATGAGGAATCTAATCAAGAGAATCATACCTAAGCATATGAGTTATGAGAGGGTGGGAAGGGTATGCTATGGAGGAGGACTTCCGAGATTCTTATTGTAGCATAAATCACCAAAGAATGTGATCTAAATATAAACCATATATATAAGTATTGCATGTAGGAAAACTCACAACTGTAAAGTGCTGCATTGACATGTTAATATTGTATAAAGATTTGATACACACAGATAAAATAAAAATAAATCATTTTTTTTTTGCATTTTTAATATTATTATAGGTAATACTAGGATTAGCATTTATGCCTAGCTAGCTAGGTGGT